GGAACTTGGGTACGATTGGGGAAGGTCACTTCGTGACCCCGCTCGCCCGATCAAAGATCAGCCTCTACTAACCATGATATCGAGTTTTGAAAACATTATGCGTTCTTATTCCGGTTATTAGCATAGATTTACTATGTGATGCACATAGCATACAAGTATAGACTGGGTCACCTGAATTGGAACGAAACATCTCATGTTTGTTTTAAAAAACGGTTTGCTACTCGCAAGTAAGCTAAAATGTGGATTTGCCACCCTCAAGTGGGCTTAGAAAATAAGATGATTTGCCACTATCTAGTGGGCTTAAAACTCGCATTTAATGAATTGTTCCAATTCGGATAACCCAACCTTCACCCACAGGCATTCAGGCAGGTATATCATAAAATCACATAGCCTCATGGTAAGCATGCTATCATGGCAGTCACTCACACACATGCAAGGATGCTAAAGCATAAAAGCTTACCTAGTACTCCAAGCCAAAACAGAAACTATGTTAGAAATCAATGCATGATCCTAACTATGCTGAAATGCCTAATGCAACACATGCAAAATGCAACTAAGATAGGCTCGGCTATTCTAAACATGGCATATGATGATGCTACAGCTAGCACATATTCAATTTGGAATTTGAAATACAAATGCAGTTAGTATGATGCGCCGAGCCCGGTGCATGCAATACAGATGAATAATGCAAACATGCTATCATACTGTATGCTAATTGAAACATGCCCTAATCTAACCATCATAAGCTGGTAAATAAAAGGGAGAAAGACGTGGGGTTGGAAAACATACATCACACACACGCACACTTATTACAATTGTGCCCTCACTCGGAGGGTCCGAAAGAATAATACAGTCCGAATGATAATACAGTCCGAAATGAATAATTAAATATTACAAAACCCTAATTAATTAACAAATTAATCTAGGAAAGCGAGTAAATTAGCATGCAAGCCTATGGACTGCCTCAGCTCTGTTCCGAATGATGGGAGATGCAAGCTTGAGTTGCCTGGCGCGGAAATCCATTACGATGCCCCGATTCGCCTCTGTTTGCAACTAATGCCGAAATGCTGTGCAAGGCTTTAGAAAGCTGCTGATTTCTGATTTGCTGCAATAGAGAGCAAGAAAGGGGCATGGCAAAGTATTTTCACATATGTATGCATGACTACTCTTCAAGGAGTGTAGTCTTCGATCCTCGTGCCACCAATCACGCATCTTGATGCATGATGGCCGAGGAATCGAATTGCACGACTCGATGTGAAATGAATGCACATGAAAACACAACAAGACCTAGACTCCATCATGGGTAATCCGGAGTGTCAGCAACCGGGAATTGAGACACGTTCCGTCACTCGGAGTACGAAACGTTACTCGTTTCCCGTGCTTGGGCTAACTCCTATCCCAAACACAATGCAAATGAGATGGCATACACAATGCGACTAACATATAACCTAGCATACGCAATGCTATGAAATGGTATACACAATGCTCGATGTAACATGGCATACACAATGTTCTAACATGCAACCTAGCATACGCAATGCTATGAAACGAAACAGCATACACAATACATGATGGACTTACACCAACATGAGTGGACCTCAGTCACACTCACATCAGTGGCCATAAGATGAAAATGAGATGACCGAAATGCGTGCACACATGCACGCAAACCGAGGACCGAATCTAAGGCATTAAATGTCACTCTACCAAAACATGGCAAGGATGAAGCATGGAATTCAAACATGTAATTTTCAGCACTGAAACATAATGCTAAATGGTCCCGAAACATGGAAATATGGCACCAGATGCATGGAATAAGCCCCGAAACTCAAAACTAGTCCAATGCATTGAACCACAAGTATACAACCAGTAAAATGGGAGTGTGATTATGTTATATAGAGGTAACGCGATCCTCCCGGCTAACACCAATAAAATGGGCTGATGTGCTATATAGAGGTAATGCGTTCCTTTCGGTTAGCACTCAGTAAAGTAGGTAGATGTGCTATACAGAGGTAATGCGTTTCTTCCAGCTAGCAATCGATAAAGGAAGCAGACGTGGGGCTTGGCGAGACCACGATGGTGATGTGGGACTTATTGCTAATGTGTGTATGTGTGTTGTAATGGGTGCCTAGTTGCCTTGTGGGTGATGCCTTTGAATATTATGAATTGTGATATCTTGTTGATTGATTACCTAGTTAAATTAACTAGCATAAGTTAATTAAATGAGATATGTGTATATAGCTTGTTAATTGTGAATTTATTTGAGCTAACCGACACGAGTTAATTAAATAAACATATTGGAATTGAGGCGTTGTTAATAGTCATTGTAACTTGTAGATTTATTTAAGTTAACTAATATAAGTCATTTAAATGAAATGTACTTGTTAGAGATCTTTATGAATTGTTTAATTATTTAATTTAGCAGGAATCTGTTAACTAAATAGGTTGAAAATAATGTTTTGTTGATATTTGGAGCACGTTTATTTATTTAAGTTAATTAGTTGGGGTTAATTAAATAAACTGGATTTAAGAGGTTATGTAATAAAATCATAAGATTTTGACATGATATGATTTCACGTATATATATGAGTATCTTTGTACCCACATATCTTTTAATGTTATAATATAAGATTGTTTGGTGAGCTAGTGATTTGTTCACCCCCTACCTGTACATGTGTACAGGGAATGTTTTTAGACTTGAGAATCAAACAGCAGGTTTACCTTGACATAGTTATAAGTAGTGATGAGCTGTAATGCATTTTATTTGTTTCTTTGGCTGAGTACTATACTCTGTAAAGGGCAACGCACTCTTATTTATTGTAAGCCTTTGGGAAATTTTGTCTGTAAAAGAATGTATTATATTCAATGTAATACATGAAGAGTGAGTTTAATGGTTTTTATTAATGGTATTTCTTGTATTGACTTGTGAAGAGTAAAGAAAATGTTTAACGAAAAAGGATTTTTGATAATTAATTGAATGAGAATGAAATTTCTTTCAAAAACCTCACGCTTAGGTTAATTATTTTTCGCCTAATTAATCTTTGAAAATCGAGACGTGACAGCTACGTATAGCTAGATTTGTTTCACTTCCTCTCCTATATGAAATATAAGTATTGGCATTTCCCTCTCAGTAGCAGTTGTTATGTCACTTCTCTTGATCGCGATTCACTTTGTTTACCTTCCCTTTCTCTCTAACCGCTAGCAACGGTTGCACCTAGGCTTTACAAGACCTAGACTCCGTTACTCCTCTATTTGTTAATTTCCGTCCTCAGTGTGAAGTCTTGGGTTGAAAGTGTGTGCCCTTTGTTTACGTGCGTAGTTTTGAACCAAAGCGTGAGGCGGCTCAGTAAGGAAGGAATGGGCAATCATCAAGGAAGACTTCTTTGTTGGCAAAACGAAGGGCTAAATAGCGCCAGTGATTCTCTGAGCCGGTTTGGATTTCCAATGCCTCAGGAAACTAGTTGAGATAGATGACAACACCTTTTTCCTCACTTCCTTACCAGGGGGCAATCTTCTCTTATGGTCTTTACCTCTTATCTGGCCTAAAAATAGAACCCAGCCCCCTTCTAATCCATTCATTTCTACAAGCAGGGGGGATCTAGAGCTAAGCCTCCTCCTATTCAAGGCCGAGTGGCCTCGCCCCACAAGCACCTAACCTTCCTTTTGCTCTTCCTTCGGTTTTCCTCCACGAATGCGCCACCTAGGAGCCCTACTCATATTCCAAAGGCCCTACTTCAATTCAAGCGCAAACCCCCCTTCTATTGTATTGCATAACCTAAAAAAGCTATAAACAAAGTACCAAAGTGGGTGCGAGAACAATATGCTTTGGTTATCGGCGAATGCTTCCAAAGGCAACCCCCTCGAGGTTCTGATTGTTTCCTAGATTAAAGTAGCCTTTTGTCGCCCTACCAAACGAAAGTTTTCAAACAGCTTGCCCTACTGAAGTACCAAAGGTGCGCTCTGCTTGGTGACTAAGAAATGGGTTTGCGCTTGAATTAAAGTGATGAGGTTATAAAGAGGGAAGTAGGGCTCCTATTGAAATGCTTCCCCCCCCCCTCAAATGGTGACTTGCTTTTAATACTAGTTGTTACGTTACGCTACCATTTTTTCAATATTATTGAATAGCATGGCCTGGGGCTAAGGTGACTCAAGTGGGAGAGCCGTGTCATGGGTGACCTTATTGCATGGTTCAAAGAGCACTTGTGTATGTGATGCAAGTGAATGTGTACGAAAAAGCTGTCAGAAAGTTTCGTTGTTTGTTCTGTCATCGACCCTATCTACGTTTCTATGATGGCCCAAGAACACACTCATTCTTTAGCGTAGACTTTTGGGAAGGTTGCTTGGAGAAGGTTACGATAATAAGAAACTAGAGCTCATTGAAGGATCACAAAAAGGTGATTGGAGCTTGTTGGTGGTTGGTCGGAGAATTCATCGATGACCAGCCGATCATCCTAAGGTTAAAAAAAGTTGGTTGAAGCTTATTGGTGGTCAATCATCGGAGAGTAAAAAAAAAACTGGTTAAAACTCATCAGCAATTGGCCAGAGACGGTGATGATTGACCAATAGAAGTTCATTGGTGGTTAGGTAGAGGTCACAACAGTGACTAACCAAACTCAAAATAATTGAAAAGAGGGGGTCGAAACATTTTGGGTATCAAAAAGTCTTATGAATTAACATATTAATTTTGTGTTAGTCTGAAGAGTAATTGATTCAAAAATATATACTTTTTCGCATGTTGACTTAGGAGGTCCATTTTTATTTTTTTTCCACACCTTCACTTGCTGATGAAAACAAAATCAATGAACATATATAGAAGGAAACAAAACAAAACAAAATCACTATCTAGGAACTCTTTATTCTCAAACATCTTCAAAAACAAGAAACTAATTGCAAAACCTAAAAAATAATCACAAAAGGAGAAAACAATCTATTTCCCAAACTAGCAGATTGCTAAAACTTCAACAAAACTAACCTAGTTTTAAAGCCTTTTTTTTTTTTTTTCACATAGCTTTAATGGCAATAGGACTCCTAACCCTATGAACTTCGTTAAACCAAGTAATGCTTCCAAAAACAAACCTCCCCAAAGGTTTCCTGACTGAAACATCGACGCTGAAAGTTAGGGTTTGCTGGCCATTTGAGAAGTCCAAAACACTTGGATTCACTTCAATGTCGATGCCTCTAGGATGCTCAATTTGAACTTGGAAAACCATGGGGTCTACGTTTTGTCCACGGTATGTGACCTTCCTTGACACCGTTGTTTTGCCGACCAAATTGTTAATTCCAATTGATGGAAGGTTGAGATTGTAAGCAGGAAGTGGCGGGAAGGGGCAGAACAACATTGTTCCGAAGAGCTTTTGAAGTAGGTCTTGCGTTATGCCTTTGTTGCATACAAACATGAAAATGTCCTCCGCATTCATGTCATAAACAAGACCTGGATCAAGTGCAGCGTTCGGATACAAGTGACCTGATCCTAACTCAAATGGTGTGGCTGAACCACCGGTGCTAGATTGTATGGGTTTTCCAGTATTGTCAAGTTGTAAAGCTGCGTCAAAGGGATAGAAATGTCAATACAATAGATGGAAAGAAATCTATAACCCGAGCAACCCACATTCAGTCCGTAAAATTTAACAATTTGGAGAGTATAATTTTTAAATTTGGGCAAGGTCAAACCAAAATTTGCCAATCCAAATTAAAATTTAAAATCAAATAAAGCAAAGGCACTCACAATCTTAGCAACCGAGTTCTACCATGAAATATACATATAAAAATGCAATGTAATATTTTACTTTCTCTATACACATAACTCAAATCAATATTATGCTAAATGTTTATATTTTTTTGACAATTTTCTTTTATTATTTTCAGAAAGTACAATACATTAATCCGTGGAGTCTAATCTGAATTCTATGAGATGAACTTGAGTTCGAATTTGGACAAACAAGCTGGGGCTAGATCTTGAGCATAGGTTGGACTTGAGTAAAATCTCTCTACATTTTGAGTTGAACTTGGACAAAAGAGTATTTTGAGTGAATTACATCACTGATCCCACTAATTTGAGTGGAATTTGAACAATTTGAACTCTACTATTTCAATTTTGTTGCAATGTAATCCCTCTATCACTTATTGTAAGAATTTAAACAAAAAAAAGACTACATGCTAAACTAACGTTGTGTTTGGTTCGGGGATTTGAGGAGGGATTTGGAAAGGGAAAGGGAAAAGTTAGATGAAATGCGAATAAAATATACCTACATTTCACCTAGTTTCACACATCTTTTCCCTTTCCCATTCCAAATCCCTCTCTAAATCCCTCAACCAAACACAGCATAAAAGGGACCAAAGTGGAATTCAAAATAACCTATGGGGAATATTGATGCAATGAATAAATTACATTAATGGCTCTTATAATTTATTTTGAATTCCACTTTGGTCCCTTTAGTTTTGCATATGATATTTTTTCTATCAAAATGTTAACGACGCATGATTTTGAGCAACATGCTAATGACCACATAATAGAGAGACAACATTACAACAAAACTGAAAGTATGAGGTTCAAAGTAAAAATGACATTTCGTTTAAACTATAAGGACTAATAGTGTAATGTATATCATGTAGGAAAACTAGAAGGACAAATATAACCTGAAGTCATGAGGGCAGATTTGATTTCTGCAGGGCTCCAAGTGGGGTGAAGGGCTTTGATCATAGCAGCAACACCAGCAACATGAGGACAAGACATGGAAGTGCCGCTATCAAAATTGAAACTAGGATAATCCCAATTTTCATAATTCATTGCATGCCAAGCTGCTAATATGTTCATTCCTGGGGCTGTTATGTCAGGCTACATCCACAATTTTTATTAGTGTAAACACACGATAATCATAATGAAGTCTCCAAATTTCAATAATAGTATAACTTTATAATAAAAAGTTATGGGTAAATTATACCATTGGATTCTATATCTTTTCTTGAGATTTCACTTTGATTTCCTAGGTGGAGGAGCCCTAATATGGGGCTCTCTATATATTTTAAAAAAAAAATCAATCCACAACCCAATCGAAAATTCAACCAGAGGAACTAATGAACAATTGGTGATAATTTGATCCAAGAAAAACAAACTCAAGGCATAACAAAAGTATTGAGATACTTCATGTGACATTGATGTGTCAAATTGAATCAGGAGAAACTTACTTTGATTATTTCTGGTGTCAATCTGTCTGGTCCTTTTGAAGACAAATGTGCCATCCTTGGAGCTGGTTTTGAGTTGAAAAGTGCCCTCGTCTGTGATATCCTTGCAACGGGCTCTCTACAAATATTTGAGTACTATTGGAACATAGATGTACAAATTCAAAAATGAAAAATATAAATAAATGAATAAATAAATAGCAATTTAAGAATGAATTCTATATAATCTGTTTGGCAGAGCTTTACATGCTCAATTTTTAACTTGTGAATTTCAAAATACTTAATGAGATCTTTTAATTGGTGAATTATTATTATTATTTTTTTAAAAATTTTAATATGAGAATATATTATTCTTAAGTTCTCATTGTCCGGTCCAAACAAACAATTTAGAACGGAGAGAGTAGCATTTTGGTAGTCATATAGGTCAGAAGGACTCACCTTGTTGAAATGAGGTAATTGTGAAGCGTTTTAGCTTCTTGTGAATTAATGACAGAGACATGGATGTCATAGTCATCAGTAGGTTTTTGATCATTTGGATCGATAACTATCATCCCGACTCCACCTCCATCACTTACCACGCTTGCCATGTCTGCCGTGTCATCGTCCCAGCTCTCCATTGTACATATCACAATCTTCCCTTCAATCAATTCACTATCAAGTGCATTTCTTTTGCAATACCTGAAAAAATGTCATGAAATCGTTAATTTTAACTTTCAATTCAAAAGGAAGGACTAAATTAAAACTACACTTAAAGGTAGGGATCAAATTGTTCAATTTGAAATAATATGGATTAAAATAAAATTTGAGTCAAACTATAATGGTTAAAAAGTGTAATTTACCCTTTACAATATGTTACAGATAATACTTTTTATATTTTATTTTATTTATTTAATGTGGTAAATTCATAATTGTTGAATATTAATATGGAATTTATGCTGAATTTATTGTGCTAAGGTTTTGTTTGAATCAAAGATTTGAGAAAAAGTTTGTGTGGGAAACAAAAAAAGGGAACAAAAAAGTGAAAGATTATTTCATTTACTTTTCAGTTCCTTTTTTTTATTTCTTTCACAAATCATTTCTTAAATTATTGATCTAAATAAAACCCGAAAGTTGTCATATCATATGATAAATAAATAAATATAATATTTAAAAAATTTGTGTTTCAATTAAAAATGCGAATTGTGAAAATACACCCCGAATCCAAATTGATAAGAGGTATGCATGAAGAAAAATCTTGAGTGCACAAAAATTTGATTACAGAATCAAATATTTATAGAAAGATTGTGTCTAATTTTATAATCGAATTTTGTGCATATAATAGAGTTGGTGCATGATCAACAAACCTTGCTGCTTCTATTGGAACACCGAACATTGCTGCAGAAATAGCAGCAATAAGCCCAGTAAAATCATTTATTTGGTTCCTGTTGATTGAAAATCCCTACAAATTTCAATATCACTAATCAAATTAGGAACCAACAACCATACATCCCATGGGTGTGAAATCCATAGGCACGGGTGAGTATTTGCTAGAACATTTGGAGCCTCTAGTTTTTTCCTGTACAAAATGAACACTTTACTCATCAAATCAAGTTTCGATTGTTACTTTATTTGTACAATTGGATTCAATTAGATCACATAAATTAAAATAAACAAAATTTTAAAACTTAATAGATTTTAAAAAAATATAGCATAATTTAAGTGATCAAAGTCAAATTAAACCATATACAAATAACAAACTGAAGGGATTTACATTAACACTCTATTTGTTTGGACATAAAATATATTTTTATATTTGGCCATCTTGGTGGAATAAAGGTGGAGGTAGGGATGGCGATGGTGACGGTGACCATGGTGGCGAGGTGATAGTGGCGGTCATAGTGTGGTGATTTAGTTCAGCAAATGTTTTACACTTTTTAAAAGTGAAAATATTTTCTGTTTAAATAGATTTTTTTTTATTGGCCATAAAAATTATTTTTTGTTATATTTCTTTTGAGTAAATTACAAATACACCCCTATGAAATTTGTTAAAATACAGAATGCCTCCTATAATTTGAAAAATTACAAATATCTCCTTGTTGAAATTTTTTATTTAACAGAATTAATCGAAAAAATGAAATTCTTAATTGTTCTTCTATTACCTGAATTATTAATTAAATAAATTTCTAATATCATTAAAAATTGTTAATTTGACTTAATGATTTATTAATGAAATGAGTTATTTATTATAAAATTTAAATTTTCAAGCGACAATATGTAATTTTCAAAACTACGGCAATACATATTCTTGTGTATTTATAAATTTATAAATTTTTTTTAATATAAATATTACATTTAGGTTAAGTGTACCTAAAAATTACTTAAAATATTAAAAAAAATAATTAAAAATAAAAAACTCAATTTGTAAAAAATTAAATTAAAAAAAAAATTAGAATCAAACATACCTCCAAAGTAACTCCATTGCCAAGTTCAACTAGGGTAGGGAAATTCCGATCATCATAACTAGCCCCCACAGTAACAACCCAAGGAGCCGAATTCACAACAGACGACGCCCCAAACTCTCCCAGATTCCCCGCACTCGCACACGTTAAAATTCCCCTCATAAACGCATGAAAAGCTCCGACAGTGAACATATCTTCAACATAGCTATACTTCTTCATCGACGACTTGTCGAATTTCGGACCAGCCGAGATAGTGATGATGTCGACGTTATCGTCAATCGCGTCGTCGAAGGCCTTGAAAACGTCGGCGGAGCTACAGAGGTTGAACCAGCAAACCTTGTACACTGCTAAGCGGGCGTTCGGGGATCCACCACGTGCGGTCTGAGTTTCCAACACGTTTGGGATTTTGTAGGAGTTTACTAGGGAACCGGCGGCTGTTGAAGCGGTGTGACTGCCGTGACCGAAATCGTCTCGTGGTGACAGGAAGTACCGGTTTCCGTTGGCTGCGAGAGGCCCGCTGTCTTCCTCGTATCCTTGGTAATAGTAGCGAGCTCCAATTATTTTCCTGCATTATTATTATTCCACATTTAAAATAAAATAAATAAATAAAACACACACGCACAAATTACATTGGTATGATCACACTAATTTTAATTAGTTGCATTTGGTCTTCTTAAGTTTAGATTTTATGTCAATTTGATCATATTAGTAATCTCAATCAAATTTTTGAAGAAAATAGTTATTGAGTTCGTGAAAATTAACTCGTTGAATTAAACAAGTTTATAATTATAAAAGCATTACACATAATACTCAACTGCCTATTTTCTATAATTAAAAAAAAACATTAATAATAATTTATTGGATTAAATTGAGATAAGATTATAAATTTGTGATAAAAATCAAACTAATTAAAATTATACAGATCAAAATAACAATGATCAAAATTAGGTACAATCACTTGTTCCAAAATTTTTATATTTTTTTAATAAATTAATTGATTTTTTTAATGAAGTTTTAGATACATTTAAAAAATAAAATATTTATAAAAAAAAAATAATTGACTTAAATATAAAAATAGTTCATAAAACATGAAATATGAAATAAAAAAACATTAAAATTTCACGTATTAATTTGGTTAAGATACCATTCATATTTTGTGTGATTTATGGTTTATTAATTATTTGGAGGGGATTCTTTTCGGTACACACTTGGATTGAGAGGTGGTGTTGAGGTTCGGAGTCCAACACAGATCCACTATATCAATTTGGATTATAGGGTTTTGTGTGGATCATTTATAAAATTAAAAAAAGAATTTAAATTAATTTGTTTATAAAAATAATTTAAAAAATATAAATTTTATTTTTTAAAATAAATATAATAAAATTATATGAATATAATTATATTTTTTAATAAACAATTTATGCAATGGATATAAAAAAAAATGAATTATTCAAATTGTTAAAATAGAATTGCAAGCGGAATAGTACCTTCCAATTAACTGGAGATAATTCTCACCTTTATAATTATAATCATAAACATAAATAAATATTACTTTTTGGTTTTTCATTGTAGTCTGACTCCTAGTACCCATATTAATTAAATTGCAAGAGTATTTGAAAAACTATGCAAGAAAAAAATTTAAAATTTTGCCAGTTAGAACATATTTGTTAGGAGGATTAGACTATGAGTGAGGTAAGCATCACTCGTACCATCATACCATGTTCGATTAGAAAAGTTATAAGGGATTAACACTCTAATTGGAGTAGTAGTCCACCACTATGGATGGATTAGCAAAGATGGGTGAGAGGTGGGTTTGAGAATCAATCCTATGGGATTGATGGTAAAAAAAACTATTTTGTCCCTTAGTTTTAATAATTCTACAATGAAAGAAGCGTAATTATGTAATTTCACAGGTTTAATCCTAATCAATTAATATCACCACAATACTACACAAACAAACATATTTTATCTTATGTTTCTAACTTAATACCATCGCATTACTAATCTTCTCACTCAATCCCATTATATTTATAATCACATTCAACTTAATCTACCAAACAAATGTGACCGTAATCTCTACCTAATTTTAATTTTTATTACTTTCAGGAATTGAAGCATAGAGAAAGATAATACAAAAAAATTCACAATTAAAATTTGAATTGTAATTCACCTATTGCAATTCCACACTGAGAATTGCTCCCCTGCTTCACACTCTCCCCTAAATCTACTTGGCACAGGACCTAGTCCTTCTGGATTGAAACTAGGTGACTCGGGCCAAACTCCTGTGAGTAAAAACACAGAATAATCAATTTTAGACATACAAATGACAATTTATATCAGGAAAAAGTTATTTTACCAGAATTTGTATACAAAATTTACTGATGATATGACAGTGACACATTGGTAAATTATGTTAATAATAATAGGCCTTATGTTGAACATAATAAGACACATAATTTTGTATAAATTTTCTGTTTGTATAACACTACTCTTCATATAAGGATCATATGCACTCTTGGAACTTTAGATTGTATGTTTGTAGTGTGCTTGTATGACAATTTTACTATTTGATCAATATTTGAACAAATAAAGTTTGTGTGTTTCCATCAATAAAGTTTTTCTTTTGCCGATCAAAAAAAAAAAAAAAAATTTGAACAAATTAGGGCTTGAAAATAGTGTTTTAAGCCTAACCTGGTTAGGCCACAAATTGTATTATATAATTTATTATCGATATATGTGTGTTATTTTACATTGCTTAACTTTATATTTTTATAAACATAAATATGTAACCATCTATAAAAATAAATAAATAAATAAATAAAAATATGTTATTAGTATTGTAAAAGAATCTTTGAACTCCTAATTTTGAAAATGTAAAAACATGCATCCAAAGCACTGAAGTATACATATTTATATATTTATTAATTTTGAAATGTGATTAAAAAAAATTATTAAACAATATTCAAACCATATAGATAAGCTTGTCCACATTTCAGATCTAATAGTTGGCTTAGGAAACTATGTATAGTGTAAGCCATGTCTACCTCTACTACTAAACTATGAAAACACTAGTATATGTAAAACATGAAGCCAAAACAAACAAACAAAACACTAGTATATTTATGGTGTGAAGCAATGTTTACAACAAAGCACTTACCACTGTCAAAATGACCAATGATGACATTGTCATATTTTTCTTGTACTGAGAATTTGCTAAATATGCTATTACTAGTAGCATCCATGAAATCCCATGATCTTGTGGTGTGAAGTTCCAATAGTTTGCTCTCAAAAATTGAAACAACGGAATCAATTTCTGCAACACATAGTTTGTAAAGTAAAATGAAACAATATTTTGGTATTGATATGATATTGACATCGCCTATAGGTTCGTATATTGGTGGATATCCTACACTACATATTAGAAATCAAAAGATATTTAAAGCCTACCCTATACATACATAAACAACATAAATTTCATGATAAAACAAATTTATGTATGTAATTAATGTTTATGTTAGTTACGCTTACTCTTAATTTGATCTACATGTTTTGGTGTCAGCCTGGCCGAGAATCCTCTGAAACTCTTATGATAATGGTGGATTGTAGCTTGTCGTGCTTCATCAATACTAACGATAACAATTAAACTCTTCAATTTCTTGGCTCTCAATTCAATATTAATTTAAAATATTAATTGTGAAATATTAATTACTTGCCAACAATCGACGCCAGCATTTCATGATTAGATGAGATCACCATTTTGGAATCCGGCAACGAGTGTTTACCCATGTAAACAATGTAATGCTACACCAAAAACAAAAAAAAAAAAATATTCAGTAATTTTTTTGCATTACTTACAATACAATGAGTGAATAAAACCTTACCTTATGAATGCTAGAACTTGAATTTTGAGCAAAACATCTCTGGGTGATAAATATTAGAAAAAAGATTATAACCCTCTTCATTATTCAATCTTGAAGAAAAGAGAAGCAAAGAAGCACTAGAATTTTTTTGTTGGAAAAAATGTAGCACTTAAATAGGTCAAAACCAATTATTAACAAACTTCCTATAAAAACTTATATTGTATTTATCTGTTAGATATTTACATAATATATCTTGAATATATCAAAGTTGATTTTTGGTTATCTGTTAGATATTTACATATATAAATCTTAAATATATCAGATTTTTGGATATGGCAGCCTTCTTTTTATTGATTGGACAATCCAGTCCAGGCTAAACAATTTGCTAGAAGAAATTAGTTTTTATTTATTTTTTAGATATTAATTATTAGGTTTTTGACTCAAAACTTTTAGGTTGTGTTTGGATATAGAATTTGGGGATGGATTATTAGATAGAAATGAAAAGTGACAAAAAATTAATTTATATTTCAATCATATTTTCTTTTCTCTTTAAAAATTCATTTACAAATTCAAAATTCAAAATAAAAGATCCAAACAATTCAATTATTGCTACTATATTGGAGGCTAGTTATGATCATTAAGCTTTGTGTGTTTTGTTGTATAAACGTTAAAATGTTATAGTTTTAATTTTATATATCTATTTTTAATAAAATTATATTTTTGGATTTTTTTTTCTTAGAGCTTTCAAACAAGATTTATATTTTTGGATTTTTTTTTCTTAGAGCTTTCAAACAAGATTTATATTATATATGAAGTTCTTTAAGCTATTTCTTTTTTCTTTTTTTGAATTTTTTATGGTGCATATAAGAGTTAGATCCAACTATCAATTTTCCATGGCCCTTATTTTTTTATTGATGTAAGATTGTTGTACTATCTACGTTGATAAAAAAGAAATGTCCCAAACATTTTAATTCTGACTGTCTCAAGCGCTTAGAACATTAAAATTAGCATTTTTTGACATGAAAGAAGTAATTTTAGACAGTTAAATATATAAGTGATTTTAATAACATGTAAAGAGTGTTAAGTGGTTTTAATCACATGTAAAGAGTCTTATACAAAATTCAAAGTTTTCCTCAGAAGAGAATTGACACTTCATTTGATTTGAGTGATTTTGAGAGAAAAGAAATTAATGGAGAAAAAAGAATTTTAATCACTTGTTTGGATTATCAAATATGAGAGAAATGAAAAGAAATAAGAAGAAATCGAGAGAAATGCATTTCTCTCATAACCTCTATTTTCAATCTCTCTAAAAGTGAAGGGATTGAGAGAAAAATAAAACTAACCAAATATTATTTTGTTATAATATCAATAAAATTACCCTTTTAGATATAGAACAAGTAAAAAGACTAACACTTATAAAAGGTTAATTTGGTAATATAGCATAATATCTTTTTATTTCTTTTCTTTTATATAGCTTAACTAAACAAGATAGAACATAAATTAATATCATTTCTTTTCTTTTTTTCTCTTACCTATCCAAACAAAAGAGAAAGAAATTTACAATCTTTTCTTTTTTCTTATAACTTATCTAATCATTTCTTTTGTTTTTCTCTCATAACTTATCAAACATGGTGTAAAAGATTGTAGGATAATAAAAGAAACTAGAGTTTCCAAAAATACTTGAGAGAATTTGAGAATATTGTACATAATTCATAGAATGTTCTAGAATAGATTCTAGAGAGTTTATTGTAAAAGTAGAAGGCTCCATGAAGCTTTTATACATCATAATTAGTAAGTATTTTAGATTGTTACTAGAAGGCCAAGGTTGCCTATAAAAGGAGTGAGGATTCATTTGCCTCACATACAACTTGCAATGTAAATTTTCTAGTGCAATAGAAGTGCTTCTCTCAAACTCTCTTGTTGCAAAAAAGGGTTAACGATTTAGTATAATTAGTTATACGCTTTTGAGTGTCTAAATGTTGCATGGAGTGCTTGAAAATAACCAATATAAAATTACAATACAATGAGTGAATAAAACCTACTTTATGAGTGCTAGAAGTTGACTTTTCAGCAATACATACTAGAAAAATATTATAACACTTTTCATTTTGTTTTTTCAATGTTGAAGAAAAAAGAAACAATGAACACAAGAATTTTCTAGTTTGGCAAAAATGTAGGACTTAATTGATTAGTGCTATCATCTTCATAAATTTTTCGAATACTCAATAGAGAATTTTCTAGGTACTGTTGTATATTGAAGATTTTTCTGAAATTGTAGTATTAGTGGACTTAAACTTGTCAAAACTAATTATTAGCAAACTTATCAGTTAATTATTGTATTTATCATATTTAGATAAAAATCTTAAATATATCAAAATTGTTTTTTTAATATGACTGACTTCTTTTTCATTAATTGGACAATCCCGTCCAAAACAAGTGCCTAGACAATTTGCTATGACATATTAGTTTCGATCTTCTTTCTCATAGAATTTTGTATTTTTTATTTAATATTTTAGGGTTTCTCCTTTTACTTAAAACTCTTAACCTGTGTTTGAATATAGGAACCATGATGGATGGTCTGAAATTCCAATGTGCTAGCAAGGACAACACCTTAATATATGGAGTGGTGGAAAACTTTATTGCCATGCAATTGTTATAGTTGGTTATGGGGAAGAGAATTTAAGAAAATTTTTCGTAATTCAAAACTCGTGGGGAAAAAATTGGGGACATGATGGATATTTAAGAATTGCTCGGGACATCAGAAATGAGAAAGGAGTTGTAAACTTATATTTGTTTGCCATGTATTTGGTTATGGATGAATGGTTATCTGAATTTGATAAACTCATGTAGAGATTTACCATTTATTATTATTATTATATATATTTATATAAAACTTCTTATTTTGATTTATATCTATTGTTGCCTAAAGACTAGCTATACACATTTTTATAATCGTGAGAGGATTGGGATGCAACTCCATTTTCCAAAGGATGCTATTGTCCTTGTCCGTGCCCCTATCCTTGGTCTGCCATCTGGTGCGGTAAGTCTTATTTGTGTGGTATTGGTCTACTATTTGACTATACCTTATGCTTGAAGTTTATATGTCTGCATTTGTAAAGCAACTAGAAAATCACAACTCTTCTATAACTTTGTTGAATCCAAAGATTATCATAATAAGAAAAAAAAATAGTGACAATTGTCAAAGAAATTTTGTATATATTATTAATTAATTGAGAAGCTTAAGGTGTACAATCATTATTCACTTTTCTTTTGTCTTTAAAATTTTATTTATATACAAATTTAAAATCCAAACATAAAAATAACTACTAATATATGGGTTGTTAGTTGTCTTTAAAGTCCAAACATAACATCATTAGACTCTTACAGAGCCTCCGTTTGGGAAGTGGGTTGGCTTTTTAACTTTTTGACTTTTTTAATTATTTTAACTTGGGCTAAAAAGCTTGGTTTGGGAAGGACTTTTTAACTTTTTGACTTTTTTAACTTTTTTGTGAGAAAAGAGTGTAATGATTATGGGCTAGATGTGATGTTTTGTTTTTTGTGCCTAAAATAACCTATTTTATCTTTTGTGGTTAAAATAGCCACTTTAGCCCTTCCCAAACAATGCCGCTCATATTATTTTTCTTTATATCTCACTGCACATTTCTTGGACAAATAATGTATTACAAAATTTGGTAGGCATTTTAATCACATATAAATGAGTATTACAATAACAAAAAAAATAAAAAATAAAAAAATTGCATAATTTTCTAAAATCATTTGGTTACTCTGGTTTCACTGTTCCATTAAGTCTAACTGAGTTGTGAAAACATTCTTGTTCTTTTATTTTTTTATTTTTTAATTTCATATTAATATGGATATTATTTATAATATCTTGGATTAACAAATTCAAAAATATCTATTTTATTAAAATCATAAATGTAGAATTAGAATTTTGAGATTTTAAAGTTTTTAACACAATTTGTGGGAAAGATTATTATATAGTTAAAATAATTTTTCCTTGTGGCCTTAAAAATTAGAGTGTAGACTGATTAATTTTTATTAATTTTTTCTATATGTACATTTCAAAAAACAAAAATGCTTGGACACTTTTTTTTGGAGATCCCCACAACCCTCTTTGGATCTCAATCATTAATATATGTGTGAGATTCACTCATGTATGGGGCTCATACCATCAATGATTAAAATTCAAAAGGAGTTTTGGGAGTCTCCAAAAAAAAAAGAGTCTCACTCATTGTTGTTCAAAAAATTAGTAAATATCCTAAAATTGCTAATTTTAACTTTCAGACCAACTTTACACCGTTGAAGATTGAAATTCAAAATTTCCATCCAAATTTCAATGGCGGGAAAATGCCAGAAGTCTAAACTGCAAAATCATCTGAATAGTTACATTTATCTCGAAAGTCAAGAAAGTATGAAAATCAATCACCGAAGGAAGCAAAGACGAACCCTGATCCAAGTGCCAAAGAATCAAAGATGACCAAAAACTTGAGAAGTACAAAACTCTGTAAAATGTTTTAAGAAGTCAAAAGCTGCAAAATCACTCCATGAGGGCATTACTCAAAGTTCAAAGGCAATAAGCCCCTTTGGCGAAGCCTGGATATGTATAATCTAATTTATCAACTAAGTATTGGTTTAGGATATGGGTTAACTTTTTAGTTTTTTGGCTTTTTAATTATTTTAGTATGAGATTAAAAAGTTTCGTTTGGGATAATCTTTATAACTTTTTTGATTTTTGTGAAAAAAAAAATAAAATGATTATGAGTTAGATGTGATATTTTGTCTTATTAGACTAAAAAACCTATTTTAGCTTTTTGTAGCTAAAATAGTTAAAAAGCAAAAAAACTTGTCATACCAAACGAAAGTTAAATTGTTTAAATTAAAATAATAAGAACTAAACTGTATCTA